CTGACAATAATATAATTACTACCATCTTGCTCAGCCTGCTCAATGTGATTTGATTAAAGATACATTTTGGCTTTTTCTATAATACTCACTTTGATCGGAATAGTTTTAACTACAGGATATGGTTTCGGAATGTATACAGGGTAAGGTTTGGGAACAGTGACGATCTTGTGAAATCCTCGTTTCGATCTCTGATGTAATTCGACATCAGCATCGAGGCAGTGGCGTATTTACCCTAGGGCCATGGGAGCCATGGCCCGGGGCGGTAGGACTGCAAGGGGCGGCACAAGACCAAGCGCTTAGGAATGCTATCAAATTACCAACAAAGCAGAAAAAAAAAAAAAACTAAAACTTATTATTTAATTGATGACATTACAAGAAATCGGGGGATCCGGCGACCGTCCGATCTGTGATCACCCGATGAAAGAATAATTATCTTCGTTCCTGTATAAGCGAAGACCGTATGAACAGCTGACTACCGCGCGGACTAACACGTCATTCGTTATTGAGGAGGCAGGCAGAGAACAGTGAAGTGGTTATATTTTCTATTTTTGCTTTCACATTTGACAAATTTTCAACATGTTTGCCAACCTAAACGAAAATATTCCTATAAATTACTAATTAATCATACCGAGCTTAGTTGTGTGTTGTGCAATGTCAGGTCAAATGATCGGGGTTTATTTTTCAATCTCAGTTTTATTAAACTTGGATTAACAGAATTTTGGTGCAACTAGCCATAATCATCTATAAATAAGCTTAATAGAAGGGGGTTCAAGTCAGACCCTTGGGGTACCCCAAAGGACGCATGGAAAAGAGAAGAAAGATAGCCATCAATCTTGACTAGTTGCATTCCTCGTTGCATTCTATTAGTAAGGTGAGTCATTTGTGAAAATAAAGGTCCAGAAACACCATTACTTGAGAGCTTTGGAAGAATGATGTTGTGGTTTACCCGAGGGTTTACCTTATCAATGACTTTACTGTCAGTATATATGGAATGAGTTTCTGCATATGCTATCAAATGATGAATTTATAGAATTTGTGAAGAGAAACAGGTTTGTGTCAACAGATCTACTGGCTGTAAAACCGTGCTATTGACTGATCACAATCTGATGAAAGAATTTTTTCAACGCACTGCTCAAATAATTAGGAATTACAAACAGGATGCTGATAGGTGTGTCTTTGTTGCATCATTCTTGCTGCCTATCTTGTGAATAGGAGTAGGGCAAACATAGATACAGAGTGTTAGAACAAGATTTTAGTACTCAGTTATTAATACCATCAGGTTTTGCAGACTTGTTGATGTCCTGTTGCATTGAAGCCTTTTCAATAACGATTGGGTCTATGACAATGCTTAAAACATTCTCAAATCGATCAGTAAAAGTCGAGGTGAAAGTTCTTACGTTGGTAATGTTGGCAAGTTAGTACCTACTTACTTAAAAATTCTAAGCCACTCACTCACCTCTTGACTTTGTCCTTCTGTTGCATCATACACATCAAAAGGCCTCGCATCAGCTTAACACAAGACTGTTCCAATTCGTAAGTTTTCGCTCTGTCTTCGTCCTAATCTGCCATCTTTTTGTAAGCCATCGAGAGGCCCCAAACGGACCAGGGTTGCCAGATCTATGAAATGAAAAAGCGGGACTGTTCTTATCTTATCCAGAGTCCCAAAGGCATAAGAGGGGGGAAAGGCAAGTGCCCAATGTGTCCCCTTCCTATGGACCCCCTTGATCAAAAGCGCAACAAATTTTTTCTCCAAACGTCAAAAAAAACGTCACTTTGTTAACGTCTGTCAAAATGTCAGAAATTTAATTTCTATGCTGCTAAGCAAATCCAGCGGGTTAATACCTGTCGAGGTGGTAGAAATTTAATTTCTATGCTGCTAGGCAACCGCAGCGGCAGTAGAAGTACTTTTAGTGCCGCTGGAGCGGCAGCAAAAGTACTTTTAGTGCCGCTCGTACTTTTACTGCCGCTCAACCATTCAGTTACCCCCAAGCTTACCCCATTCGTTTGGAGAAAAAATAGTGTGTTGCATACGGAGTAGAAGCAGTTTTTTGTGCTTCAGCAGTATTGCAAGCCTCACTACGTTCGGCTCGCAAACCTACTGCTTCAGCACAAAAAAGTAAAGCTTCTACTCCAATACAACAATATACTATTTTGGAGTTTTAATAGTGATACATATTTGTAATTTCTTCTAATATAATAATAGTATATTGTTTAACGAGTGACGAAAACAGCATCAAAAGAGGCGAAGCCGAGTTTGGTAATGTTTTCAAGTTGCAAAAAATGATTTTTGACGTGTGAAACATTATACTTTTTCTATGACCATTTTATAATATGGTTTTTGCCACATGGTCTGCCAGTGACGTCACCATGTCAGCAGCTAATAGTGGTGACGTCACCCGCAGACCTCGATGAATTGCTTGCGATTCAGGCTCAGGTTATTTGACTTTTCCGTCGATTTTAAATGTAGAAATACCTAGTTATTTATGTAACAAGTTGTAAAATGAGCGTTTTTTGCACTAAATGTCAAGTTTGGAGTTTGGGTGGAAAAAGCGGGAAAACCGGGACAATTCACGTGAAAAGCGGGACCTGAAATTAATAAAAAAAAGACGGGACCGATTAACAAAATGCGGGACTGTCCCTCCTAAGGTGGGACGTCTGGCAACCCTGAAACGGACATTATACAATAAACGTTGTTTCTGATCCAGGCATGATTGTTGTGGTCGTTCAATGGAAACAATCCAGTTACTGGATGCTGTTTGGACATGATCACTTTGTGCACGATGCGCTGGTAGTAGTCCAGACGGACGCCAGAATTACTTCGGCTTTGCATTTCGTTAAGATTTTTGCAATAATTTTTAATGAAAAATTATAAGTATAAATAAATAAACAAAAATTGAGGTTAGGGTAGCTTCAATGACAAATCAATGACGTGCTAAAGCTCCGTTTACAGCTTACGATTTTATAGGTTTCGTCCTCGGTCGTAGTCAAGGATAATACACACTACCAGATTGCTTATTGGCTTCGTTTTTGGTAATCGTCGCCATATTAATGTTTCACCATTTCCGACGTCATAACTAACGCGTCAGCTGTGTGCACTAGGGGTCGAAGTTTAGAGTTTATTTATGAAGAAAATTATTATTTAATTTTGATTAACCTAGTAAGAGTAAGCCAAGAGGAAAATGAAAACGAAATCTCAAAAAATGTGTTTTGAATGTTAATTAATGTGTAGTAGAAAAACCAAGTATGCAAGCAAAAGCCCGCGGAATCATAACCTGTAGTGCAAACAGCCTACGTCAAGGCAATAAAGTACATGCTGCTACGTCACAACTGGTGATTTGGCGTGATGGGGGGCTTCAGATTTGTTCCATACAGGCTTTATGAGCTATAAAGCACATTACTGTTACTGCCCATCAATCATTAATGTGAATTTTCTGAAGAGTTTTGAAATTGACTGCTGATAATGAAATGTGTAATGTTCATTGAATAACATAGTTCTGTCTAGTTTTATGATTTTTTGGGTGAAGGTCCAATAACTCCAATGCCAAATGTTAGCATTCATTTATTAAAAAATAGAGCTTATAAGTAGGCATGTTTAGATACAAACAGAAAAGTTAAATTGCTTTAGAAACGAACAATAGGCCATTTCCGGAATATCTTCCCCCATACATCTAGCCGTTTTTTTTCTGGAATATTTATCATTTCAGTTGTCTGCCCAATATCAAAAACTTTGATTTGTTGATTCTTTTTCACAGGCTTCCACAATTTGTTTGAATGTGGTGTCGGATTTCCATAAGTAGCAAAGTTAACCCATAGTTCAGCGAATGTTCGTATCGATCTATCTTCTAAACTTCCTGGTTCGACGGTTGGGGTAATAATTGAGGAAAACTGATAGCCCAATTCGTCTTGATGACATGTCCCTATACAAATTTTAATAAAAACAGACAGGATTTTTCAAGAAAAACTTACCTGGTTCATCTGTACGATTCATGAGTAATTTAATTCGATTTAGTTTGCCTGCCAATGAAACACGGTAGACGTATATGGGATTTAAAGAGTTTTCTAAGTGGTATTTTAGAGCTTCAATCACTTCGGCAAGAAGGTTGCTGTCAGTTACGGGCTAAAATATACGTAATCAAGTTTACGAGAACTACTTTTAGAGTCTTTTGTGAAACTACTTACATCATATCGAGCACTAGCAGGTTTTCCAGAATAAAGCTGACTTAGTTTAGCAACAATTGCCTTGCTATCATCACTTCCTTTCGGTATATCTAGTTGATAGGGTATCATATTTTCGAAATTAAAATTTGGGAAAATTAATCCGAGCTTTTCAGCTGCTTCTATGTTTAGGTCAAATACCATGCCCTCATTTTCATCGTAACCCATAATAATCGGCACTTGGTTATACGCTCCGTCTTTGATAAGTTTTATTGGATTTTCCGTGAGAAATGGCCTGTCGTTTGGTACTTCTATTACAGCCGAAAATGGTCGTTCGCCTGCTGGAGATGTATTCTTAAATATAAACTAATTATTAAACAGTCTGAATTCAAATGAATTTTTGAAACTCACATCTACAACTAACTGTTGAGCTGTAAAAATTTCCAGAGCTGTAAGATTTTTCAAAATATCTAAAGCTTCTCGATTAGTACTGGCTTTTTTCCCAGCTTTTGCTACAACTTCTATTGCGTTATTTTTTCTACCCCAAAACCAGGTATTCAAAGCACATCCGCTTTGCATTATGGCTTTGTGAAATAAACCTCTGGAAGCTGGTGACAAAATGTGAGTGTGGACGGATGCCGAGCCTGCGCTCTCACCGAAAATCGTAACGTTATCTGGATCTCCGTTGAATTTTCGAATGTTTTTCTTTATCCATTTGAGAGCCAAATTCTGATCTTTTAAACCCATGTTACCGAAAACACCTAGTGAAGGGTCATCAAAGCTGAGAAATCCTAAAATTGTGCCATATTATGAAAAAAATTGCACAAAGAGATAAAGAAACTTGCCAAGAACGCCTAAACGATAGTTGAAAGTTACTAATACTATATCTTTCAGCATGAAGAAATCGGGTCCATAAACGTCGGGGCCACTGGAACCAACTGTTAAGCCTCCTCCATAAATGAACACCATTACAGGTTTGAGGCGCGAGTTAGATTCGGGTAACTGAAAATGTTTAGATTGATTTTTGATTAAACTTGATTAAAATTTTGTATATGTATCAAGACTATACTTACATTTCTTGTATAAACATTTAAATACAGACAATCTTCTGAGCCTACTGTCTGCGAACCAAAATCATATGTGGAAATGCATATATCGCCAGTTTTATTGGCGTTGCGAATTCCTGTCCAACTTTGAGCTGGTTCGGGTGGCTACGAAATATATGTATATGAGGAGAAATAGCATATTCAGTTTCTAGGGGAAAAGTAACACATTCTTGGCATAACGAAGCGTAGCTACGGCCAGGACATAGAAGAAAATTGAAAAATGCTTACAAATTAGAGATACATTTTAAAACAAATACGGACCTAAAATAGTTACTTTGAAGTGGTTCACATGCAAATTTTTATCGAAAGCAACAACAATTGGATTCTGAGTGATCTACAAATTTAAATGAGACTGACTTGAGACTTTCTGAGATGTTCAGAATGTTTTAAAGCTTGTCAGGGTTTGAAATATCTGAAAAATTACTCAGAAAGAGTTTGTTGAGTTTTCTATAGTGTCTTAGTAGGAAAAAATCGTTTATCCACTATTTTTAGCAATTATTGTATTATGAGAACACGCCCTCACTGGTAAGGTCCGCCGCTGTGCTCCATGTCAGTGTTAAAGGAAAGGAAGATAACGCGACGCGGGCTGGTGGGAGAGTTTTGACGCGGAGACGGAGAGTCACAGAGAGCAGAGAGGACATGGTCGCGCATGGTGACAAACGTTGAGAAGTGCTGTAGTTAAAATTTATAATTATACCTATAATTGTTTTGCATTATCTTATGGTTGTTTTATTGAATTAAACGAGCTGAAGTTTACCTACACCCAATAAATATTTTTGTTTTTATAATATTTACCGTATCACTTTCTTTATATAACTTAAGGTATTATATCCATTTACCGAAATATTTCTGTTACTCCTATAAACCCTTTAAAGAGCTTAAATTGAGCGTTTATAAAGGTTTCGAAAACCTGTGTTTAGTAACGGGAATATTGGTTAACCATTATATAACTTTTGGCAATTCTGTCATCATTATAAATACATATTTTTTCTCTCTCAAATACATTGCTTTAAATGGTCTCCTACTATTTTGCAAATATTATTAATATTTACCTATTAGAAAACGATGGTACTTTGTTATAACTTTATAGCACTGGTAGACTCAAAATATAGTTGGGAAATTAACTTTTTCTACTACAAAAGTAGAACCGGTACTTCGAGAAAACGCTGGGGCCCTTGAAATATTCACTTCTTATTAATTTCAAATCAGTTTTCTCACAAAATTTAAACATATAAATATTAATTAAAATGACATTTGAGAACAAATTAATGTCATTTCAATTATTGTATATGCCAGTATTAAACAATTATTGTATATTTTGCATCAAAATCAGCTAAAGCTAGGGTTTTTGCAACGCGTCTTTTTTATTATTATGATTTTGGGTTGAAAAATATGGCGGATCACTCAGGTAACAATATAAACTCTGGAAACTATAATATCACCTGAGGTAATATGTTATAACTATTAGTAACATTATATATCTTTTAACCAGATGCCATCAGCGCCGCAGCGACGGTGTTGGCAATTTTGGTCTCAAAATAGTGTTATTGCTATAATCATCATGTTTATATCAGTTCCCTCATTTAGGTAATTTATTTTCTTGTCTAGGAACTTGTGTACCTATAGTGTGCTCGTGGAAGATAATGAGGGCACTGAATTTGAGATTTGTGATTGCATATTTGGATTATGCGTAAAGTTCTGAGCAGAATTCATGTGATATACTCTTTATGTAAGTTCAACTGTTTTGGAAATATTGACAGTTGCAAATTGACTTTTTTGCAATTTTGACAGGCTATAAAACCTAAACGCTTAATTTTAGAAGAAAACCGATCTTACATTCTTGTCTTAGATTTTCATTAACTATCATTTGACATCAACTCTGAATTTAATCCATGATTGAAAATTCCAATTAAATTTAATCTCCGGAAGTGCCACTATCTTGAAAATATTTCAGCCAGGTTGCCCCCATTGACATTAATATATTGTCAAATTTTCAAAAAATTTCTGCACACAGTTTTTCATATATCGGGTCTTCAAAAAAAAAACCAATCAAAGATTGCTTTGGTTACGAAAACGTACGTCGCATTAATGTTTCTTTATTGGTCAGGATTTTTGACATGACATTTTGACATTAAATTTCATTGACTGACATTGTCAAAATTAAAGAAAAATATTACTAAGACGTACGTTTAAAAAACCATATCAATCTTTGATTGTTTTTTTTTTTGAAGACCCGATATGTATAGATCGATTTGGTTGCCGGTGGGACACCCGTATAACAGAAGTACAGTGTTTTTAATTTTTTTAATTTTAAATGTGGATGTTGAAAAAGTATTGTCGCGTTTGTCTTGTTGTGTATCATGGAGTTGTATTGTAAGCCTTTTGACTTGGAAACTTCTGTAACCTATGTAAAGAGCCTCGATAAAGACCTGAATAAAAGGTTGAAACGTCGACGAATTTGTAAATAAGGAAGTTTTATTCCACTTCCTCCTTAACCCACAGCTTCTCTCTACCATATTCATTACTTTGGAGGACACTATATTTTCACTAAATTTAAATTCCATTTACCTGGAATCGCAATTCTTCCACAGGCGGCTTGGCGTACGGAATTCCCAAGAATTCATAAAATGGTTTTCCATCATAGTTTGTACCGATGATACCTTTCAATTTTCCTTGTTGAATTTCAACAACTGGGTCTGTCGCATGTCCTTCGCATCTTAAATATTATAAACATAATTAATAGTGGAGTTTATAAATGATTTTATCGTGTCATTCCGTCGGAACTCTATTGCTAAAATGTAAAACCTATCTTATATCGTTCCTTACGCCTTAAGAAAGCAAAATCGATTGGTCGTCAAAAACTACCCCAAACTACCCCCCTAGTTTGGGGTAGTTTTCCAAAAAAATGCAAAACATTTTTTTTGCCTAATTCAAATTATTTGGAAATTCCGAGAAGAAGTATTTTATTTCGAATTTTAAAATGTTTGTGCAACACGCATTTATATGGAGTTCCTTAATATAAAACAGCTCGCACTGAAACATAAAAATTGCAACATCATTCACACATAGATAACTCAAAAATGCTTATTCTAATCAAAAAAACACTTTTTATAAACGCTGTAGATCAAAGATCAGGGATTAAAATGCTTTTTTGTAATCAAAAATCCGATAAGTCGTTTTGTCAAAAACCTGTAAAATGTAAAAGCGTGTCGTGGCGACCGCGCTCGGACGCAGAGATGCGAGGATGGTTGGAATTCCCTTGGCATGCGATTGATTCTATGTGGTACACGGTCCGTATGTATTTTCATACCTAGATGGTCGCTTTCCGTTTGCGCTCTATTATAAATAAACAGCTTCAATCAAAACATTATTTTTGGTTAAATTGATACCAAAACTGCATTAGATATCTACCGTTTATGACTTTTTGGTGTAAACTATTGACTGGATTTAAATTTGCATACAACTTGTTCTTAATTCGTAGCTCCAATAATAACGGAGTTAGTAATTAATAACTTTTGTAATAGTGCTGAATTAATTCGGGGTACCCTATATTGTCTCCTTTTTGTAAGAAGGTATACTTACATACTGTCGCGGCTTTGGATCGCCGGACAGAAATCTCGGGTTCGTTGTCGTTTCGTTTATTCCAAAAATCAAAATCCAATTAACACAGCAATAATTTATTCCACTTAACAAAACACTCTGACACTAATTACTTTAATAACTAACTCAACAATTAAACTCTTTACAATCACTATTTAAATCGTATCACAGTCGAACTGAAACTTATTACAAATCAATGCCGGCCTTCTTATATATCCCTAAATCTATTCCTGTAAAATCTAGAATACACACGATAATCTTATTTTCCAGATTAAAGTAGAATAATTCGCTAGATTCTAGTATTTTCGCCATCGATTCTTGACAGCCTGGCGGACGTTTAGCATTATTGTAACAATACTATATTTTGTAAGTAGGTATTTCTATTATATATCTCTTCAATATAGGTAATCATTTTTGACGAATTGAGGTAAATTTACATAGGTATGATATTTTTCTAGAGGCAAGACGCGATGGATTTAAGCAGTACTAGTTCAGACAGTGAACTAGAGTTGAAGATTAAATTAAAACTCTCTAAAAAAGAAATCTTCAGCTATGAGGCTAAAAATATCAAATATCAGCTGTTCTCTTTTTTGTCAAAAAAACTTGTTTGAATCTTATTAAAAATCCCGACAGAAATTCATTGGATGTACGAAGGTCCGTATGAACATTAGTCAAGGCAACGCCACTGTATTAGGTCAAAAATACTTCACAGATAGTGACAAAAATTCGGATTCTGATTGAATGATGTAAGATAGTTTAATGAGAATGTTGATAAATTCTTATTAAATAATTATCTCTTTATTAGAGAGATATTGCAAATCAGCCCAGACGCGATAGGTTATTTCCTATTACTTCGAATGATAAGTTTAGATATTGCAAATTTCCAGAAATCACTGGGAGCTGATGCCTCATTTCTAACCTGAAAATCTTGAATTTTTGTAAATGTTTTGGGGTGTCCATTTGTACTGCATTTCTTGCTTCAAGCAGATTTCAGCAGGAGATCGGCGCGGCGTTAGCTTGTCCCATATAATAAGCTGATAAATAGCAGTTCCTAGCAGATTTTCCTGATGCTTTGAGCAGGTAGAGCAAGTACAAATGAACACTCCAATTTTTTAAGTTTTGAATTTGAAGTGTTTTCTTCCTGTGAAATGTATATGCTTAGATATTTTGAAAATAAGAAATTATTTGTTCAAAATATTTGAATAGTACGTGTAAAATCGTAGAACAGTGGAAGGAATATGACACAAATTCTCTGCAAAACCCTCGGCAAAACCAGTTCATCGTTATAGGTAAAGTCTGTTTATTTTTAAAAGATAAGTCAAAAATTTAGTAACTATGTTGGCAAGACAAGGCTTTTCTACATAAAAAATTTGGAAGCATTGACAATTTTAAATTGTATTGCCAACCTAATATCATTTTGATTTTTATCTTTAAAATAAAAACAGACTTTACGTTAACCTCAGTCTGCCTCTTTTCTGTCCTCGATGCTGTTCTGATTTTGCTCCAATTCTCAAAGTTTGAAAAAAAAATCGAGAAAAGTCAAAATTTGTTGTCATGAATCCAATCTATGGGTTATAAACACATAACACAACAAAAAATTAGTTGGCTATTGCTACCGATCAGGGCCGTGCATAGGGGGGTGCGACCGGTATAAATTACCGGGGCCCGGGTTTCGTAGGGGCCCGGCTCGCCAAATATGTTCTTAGGTCTATGGTAGAGGGTTATTGCTTATAAATGGAACCCACTTTCCGTTTTTTTTATTTGACATTTTGGAAAGAAGTGTCTCAAATAAAAGTTTTATGGTTGAAATTATTATTTTTTTAAACCTCACTTTCGCATACTTATACAGAGTGTTTCAGAAAAGCTGGTCGTGGTCAAGGTTGTTTGGGAGAGGTAGATCGCCTAATAACTATATGACGTCATCTGTTGTGGGTGTCACAACACAGTGCAATTAGGCAATCCAACGACCTGTCCAAATGGCGTCTGGTTGGCAAACAATAAACAAAAAACATGTTTTTCTTTTGGCAGGATTAAGCCTAGTACTCATAACAGCGAAATTCGCTCTTTTTTGAGATTGCTTCGACAATTTGACGTTTTATGCATGAATCAAACCTCAAATTATCCAAGCAATGTCAAAAAAGGGTGAATTTCGCGGTTATGAGTACTAGGCTTTATCAATCTGACACTTTTCTGACATCGTTGACATGTAACAACCCGTATTTTAACCTCATAAAAATTTAAAAAATGCCGGCTGGTTGGCAAAAGTCACGTGGTTTGGATTCCCTAATTCTCCATGAGACACCCCAGATGCGTCATCAAGTTACCCATTACCAAACAACCTATTAACTTGGGGAACCTTGGTCGTGGTCCAACTCTTTTAAATGGAATACTCTGTACATTATTGAATATTCGGATTGTATTTCTACAACATAAAATTCTTAGAGGTGATTGCGGTTTCACCGAGAATTTCACGAACTGTGACTCTGTCACTGCTACTCGTCTGTCACAGTCACGGCCTGCTCCAGTCCCACTCTAACTCAAGTAGCAGTGACATTTTGTCACGGCCGCTTCGATCTCTGACTCATATACAGCGCGGACTGAACTCAAGTAAAAGTGATGCAAATAATAAAATATTTATCATAAATCGCATCGCGGTGTTCCAAATAGAAACTGTTACTGCAGAGGGCAGACTGGAACATCTTTCCCGGCCGTGATTGCGAACTGAACGGACTGCGATTATGTCGCATGTATGTAGTATTTATATGTATTACCAACACGGCAAGTCAAGGTTAAACTGCTCCAAAAAATCACTGCTATTTGTCACCGTGACACGACTGGAGCAGTCACGTCTTGTCACAGTTCCAGTGAAATCGCAGATTGGCCCACCGCTAAAAATTCTGAGCAGATTTCATGTCATATACCCTTCACATAAGTTTAACTGTTTTGGAAATATTGACAGTTGAAACTTACTTCTTTGCAAATTTGACAGGCTTTAGAACCTTAACGGTTTATTTTAGAGCAAAACCGATCTTACATTCATCATTCATATACCATCATTCAAGACCAACTTTGAATTCAACCAGAGATTAAATTTAATTCGAATTTTCAATCATGGAATGTATCTCTCTCAATCAAGCGACAAGCATGTGCGTATCCCCCCTCCGGTCGTTGCTGATAGGCTGTTCATACTCCCCTTACACGATCAGAATTCTCGTAAAGAAAAGAGGTTTTACTTAATAATACCTAAAAAAAATTATACCCGAGGCGTGCCTTTTTAAAGACTTTTGGGTAAAAATTTGGGCAGTAGTGACACTCAAAAATGTTTGGGGTCCCTTTAGGGGGGCCCGTCAAAGTGACTGTACTGGGGCCCGCGCGTGCTTCGCACGGCCCTGCTACCGATCATCGCCGATCGAGTATAGTCTGTTTTTTTTTTTTAAAGATAAAAGTCAAAATGACATGTTGGCAATACAATGTAAAATTGTCAATGGTTTCAAATTTTTTATGTAGAAAAGGCTTGTGTCGCTAACATAGTTACTAAATTTTTGACTTGTGGAATTATCTTTTAAAAAAAAAAATACTTTAAGAACTTCAAATAAGGCAAAGATAAAGCAGGTGTTATTTTCTCCCAAATAAGGCAGACTGCGCATGCGCAGCTGTCAAAAGACAAGCACTTGCAATATCTCTCTATCTACACAAAAATAGAAGGTTCTATCATGGAACAGCGACTCCACGACTACAAGTACCCATAATAGGAAATAAGGTGCTATACTCGGTGCTATACTTGGCTATATCACAACTTCAAATGCGTCAATAATATGTCTGATTATACATTTATTATCTACCTATTATCAAAGGCTCATTAAATAAAGTTTGTCCTACCTTTGGATTTTAACGCAAATTTTAGCATAAATGCTTTACCTAACTGGTCAATAAATTATGGAACAGTTTTTTAAAATGATCATATTTTCTCATATAATATTATGTCTAACTGTTATTGATTTATTTAAATATTATACTCAAATACATAAAGTAAAAGCCACTATATTCTTATAATGTATCTATATCTGTATCTTGGGAAATTACGACGCTTTTTCACAGAAATAGTGCACTTTCCGC